GGCATTGTGAAGGGGGTATATTTTGCTTCTTGCTTGAGCAGCAAAGTCCAGTGAGTGACACTGCCTCCCTGTGGAGAGAGCAAGATGCTGAAGAACTATCTTTTCTTTTGAGAAAAGCCATGGTATGCATAGGTCGCTCCCTCAGGAGAAATTCTCCAAGGACTGATTTAATCCTGGTTGTTCCCAGGTTATTTTTCTCCTGGAGTGGCCATTTTTACCTCAGGAGAAAAAGCCTGAACATCTGTGTACTTGTGGTTTTTCTGGGGAGAAATGCGACTCTCCCAGGTGAAATTGAATGCCTTGTGAGGCCTTAAATAATAAATACATCACAGATAAATATAGAGATAAAAAAGTATAGACAGAACTACAAATTCTGCTGAGATCCAAAATGCATGAAGGACTCAATGAAGTAATGAGACACAGGCAGGCTGCTCCACATAATTAGATTGGCACAGGAGATGGTGCTGACTCCAGAAGGGATCAGACTGTGCAGAGAGACAGAGATTGGGTGTTAGCGGTATACCAGGAAAAAAGTAATGGTACAGAGAAGTTAAAATCTTGGGAAAGGCTTGAAAAAGTTTTTTTTCAAATTTTGGAACTGGATCCAGTTGCATAGCAGTAACGGTATGTGATGATGCAAGATTTTCTTTGTATGGTAATAGCAGCATAAATTAATATATAAAGATATAAATTCTGCTCCTTGCCCCATTTTACTGAACTGAGTACCTACTCAAGATTAAGCAGTTGGTGAAGATGTCTGTAGAGAATGAGTCCTGACAGTGTTATGTGAAACCATAGTGGCAGCAGTACAAACATGTAAGATGGAGGAGGAGATGATGAAAAGTTCAGAGCAAAAGATGATATCAAGGTTGCAAAGAGAAAAACTAAGTGGAAAATCTGAAGAAGAGGAACAGTTTCTTCATTAACGTTTAAAACATTCCCTACCCTTGCATGTTTCATCAAAATGGTTATTCCTTCAAACACAGCTAGTCTATGTTTGTGGAAAGCATCCAGCCCATCAGATGAGACAATTTGTGAAGAGTAACTTCTCCTCCTCCTGCATGATACTTGCAGCATATTTTTAAGGCATTTGCATGTTCATATTCTCCAGGATAACCAAGAGGTTGGCTAAGCAGTAGGCCTGTGTGAATAGGCAGCTATTCGATTTGGCTTCGAATCCAGCTGCTTCGGATGCCAGAGATCCTATCTGGAGCTCTGGATCGGTTTCCCACCTTGATTTGGCTGAAGTGGCTCTGAAGCTTCAGAGCCTCTTCAGAGATCCGGCCATAGGGTATAATGGAGAATCAATGAAATATCTATATCTTTGCTGGGTTTTTTGTCTGATTTGGATAAAACTTGCAGGGGTGGTAGCCTCTGGTAACAGCATGGAGCCTGCCAAGTTTCAAGAAGACAGGTACAGGGATTTGGGGGGAACTGCACCCCAAATTCTTGAAAATTAGCAGAAAGCCTAAAGAAGCCAGCGCTTCGATCTGAACATGCTGCTTCAGCGTCTGAAGTGTCTGAATCTTTTCCGGATCCGAAGCGCGGTTCAAAGCCTCGCACATCTCTACTAGGCAAAACAGAAATTCTGAGCATGTGTTGCTGGGCAAGACATGACTAACTTTCAGTTGACTTGGGTTTTCAGATAATCAGGTAAGCTAGATAAATGCAGTTACCAATTACATTATTCTGAAGAAAATCAAAACAATATTAAAAGAACTCAGTGTTTTAAACCCTCTACATTTCCCACAAAATACTACATTTGCTCACTAGAAACTTCAGGATCACAGAAGTAAACCCCCTTCTTAGCCTCCAATTATCTGGCAGTCTTGCCAGTGTTCTAAAGGTTACATCCTATTGCTTTGTAGAAAAACATTCCTTGTGAAAATCAGTAAAAATGATGAAATTTCACCCATGTAATAGATGTTACTAGAGCAGAAGTAATACTAGAAATAGCACAATAATAAAATCTTTTTTCTCTCTAATGGGTGTTTATTTGGCCTTTTTGGGAAATCTTTCTAGTTAAAAGGCACGTCCTAACTTTCATGAGAAAAGCCCCTCCCCCTCCCCCCCATCACTCTCAACAGTTTACATGCCAAACCATTAAGTCCTCTAAAATGCACAGCACTTCTTCAAAGGAGGAAAGTAAATAAGTTATTTTGGAACTTGTAATAGTCTCACATCACTTCACCAGTATCTCCTAAATGTATCAAAATAATTGGCCAAATACACACAGTTATATACTAGCCACATAATATTAGCCACAATAAAGAATCATAGCATTATAAAGTCATTCATTTGGAATAAATGTGGTTAAAAATGTCTGTATGTATCAAGAAAGATGTTGTCTATGCCAAGATGCTGAAAACCCTTTTCTTTCAACTTTTCTGTCACCTCTAAGGAGCACTGCTGGATTTAATCTCCTTGAAGTCTAGCAATTTTTTTCCCATCACATTTAACAATTTAGGGCTTATTTCCAGATCCACTTACTTCTCAGTTAATGGCCTTTTGCAAAAGTCCTATTGGATTTAATAGACAAGAAGAAATCTAAACACAACAGAACGCGCCATGATAGGGTTTTTGAAGCATCCTATAGAATTTAATAAAAATGATACCTCTGCTTCAGAACTTTACAAAAGAGTTTAAAAGCTATAAACATGATCATTCCCTAGGCAAGGATTTCTTAGGGTGATATCTTTTATTGACATCTGACCAGAATGAATTCTCACAGAAAACAACATAAAGGACAGAAACAACATACATTGGGAGCATTAGGAGCACAAACATTAGGAGCACATTTCTCACAGAACATCCACTCCCCCTCTGACCTCGCTTCACTACAATAAAAGATATCACCCTAAAAAATCCTTGCCCCTCACATAATTTCAGGATTATCATGGCTACATTACTCTGAAATATTTAGGGAATGACATTGTAATGTGAGTTGTTCTAAAGGTCTCCAGGAAAATTCTATATAACTCTACTAGTTCCTTGTACATTAAATTCTATGTGACATTTTCATAAGGGTTCTGTCATTAGTAGCCCTACAGACCTTAATGGGTATTACAAAAAGTTATTGTTTTCAAACACAAACATGAAGAGCTGTGTTAGACGGTTAGAGCTGATTCTAATCACCTGGCCAATGTAGACTAGGGTAAATTGTGGTGTTCAGCATCATAGACTGCTTGAAGATGTTAAAACAAACAAGCAAAAAAAATGTGTTTTACCAGAAGGAGCAGTGCATTAATTCAACCTAGCTCTGCAGCATCTGTATAGATCAGGCTTTTTGGTGCTTTAGATAAAGCCGATTCATCAGTTATTAGATAAAAACATTAAAAAACCCCACTAAAGCACCTGATCTTTACAGACTTGGGTGAGCCAGGTCCAAGTAAGGCGCTGCCTCTTCTGGGCATGTGCAGGGCTCAGCGTGGGAACGTGATGAGTTTAAAGTAAAACACTGTTTTGCTTTGTGGGGGTTTTTTAACATCTGCAGGTAGCTGTTATGGATATGTTGTGTAAACAAATCATGATCGATACTGAATGTGACTTTCCATGGTATGCACTGCATTGCAACACAATTTAATGTTTCACATTCATATCTGTCCATAAATCAAGTTTTGAAATACAGAAATGCCCAAAGTGACCATCTTGGCAATGACAGCTACAGTTGTTAGTAGATGTTTACAAGCTTTTATTCTTGGGACAAGGACTGAGTTTTATGCTATTTGGCCAGGACAGGGTACACTATGAGGAATCTATGAATAAACAATGATAATAAAATTCAAAGACGGGGTGCAGTATTTTGTTTTACAACTGTTCTGCTATGGATCATCTAGGTCACTCTGCATGACAACAACATTGTGATTTTTATAAAATATTCTTTATAGCTACTGCAATGACCTTTGCACTCAGAACACAATACAAAACCATGCACTACATTTTTGTAGAGATTGCCTATTACAGTCAGACATAACAGACCATTTGTTTACATGAATAATATTTACACACTGTTCACATTAGGACAAAATAAACTTAGTTTATAATTAACAGGAACAATGTCCTCTAAAGTTATTGGTAGCAGATTTAATTCCACAAGCACGCAACAAACAGATCCAAAGTATTCCACTGTTGTTGGGTAAATTTTATTATATGGCTCATTGTTTGAAACAAATTCACAGTCCTGCCTTAATTGTTATATTTCAAAAAAATAGACCTCTTAAGCCTTAAATTAGACATTAACAAGGCTTTGATCCAACAAGACATAAAATAATATGTAAGTGCTTTGTTAAATCCAGAAAAATTTAGTACAAAAATAATTTAATGTTATTTTCATACTTTTAAAGTCAAAACTAGTATTTGCTGTAGGCATGGAGTTTTGGAGAAGGACATTGTGAAATGAATGGGAATGGGGAAAGAAACCCACCAATGATTTAATTTATTGGAAGATTAAGAAATAAATCTGTGTATATTTCATACATACATACATATATGCTACACTTTTCAAGTTTTAAAAAAGAGAGTACAAAAGTGGATGTCAGGAAAAAGTTGACAGGAGCCAAACTGAACAGTAGGTTTATAGCACAGAAATGATGATGCATATGTCATTTGATCAGAACAGAGCAGATTTCTGCAGGGATCAGCGATCTACAGTCCACAGGCTAGATCCAGCCCACGAAAAGCCTGAATCAGGTCTGTGATGGCTCAGGGAATC